GCGAAAAAAACGGGGGGGGGGGGAACAATACATGTATTTTAAATCACCGTTACTGAAAGCATTCAGCTACCTACATAATGAGGCTGAGAAACAAGCACTTAATAGAAACCCAACCCTCTGCGAATTAACGGACGTGTTGAAGGTAAGCCTGGGAGGAACTCTGCCCCAAGCCAGAGGCTGGGAGTTGGTATTTTAAGCATTGACCAGACCTGCCGGCTTCACACAGTCCCTGCTGCGAGAATCCTCTTCCCCTGCGGAAGATGTTACTGCAGCTGCAGAAAGATGTTCCTCTCTCCCAGCAGATGGTGGATTAGAAAAACTCTCCCCCCCCAGACACGACGGTAATGCCAGAGAACATTCTGCTGTGCTGATGTGAAGCTAATTTTTTGAGAATTAATGTTGAAGATGGAAAAATAAAACCTGTGAGTCCCTCTGCTCCAGCGGGGACTGGTCAGGCACCCCCCCGCGCAGGCACCCCCGCCGCAACGCCGGGCGCCTGCAGAGGCCACGAGCAACCCGGGTTCGTATGCGGCTGTAAGGCACGCTGCTGAGAAACTCAAACGATAAAGCTGAAAATCAAAAAGTTGTGTCTCCTGCAGCAAAGCACAGATCCAGGAGACCTCTTTCAGCCTTCACTTCTGTACGTCTCAAACGTGGCCTTAGACGGCAGAGCCCTGCCGTAAGAACCACGGATGAGTCAGAGGAAGCGCAATGTCCCAATTACACAGAAAATTCATCACAAGCAACCGGCCCGGTGTTTTATCAGCACAGCGCACTCACGGTGCCCGCTTAACTCCCCAGAATTACGGTGCCTTTATAGGCACTCACAGACCCCCCACGGCTAGCGCATTAGATGACGAAGTGCATCCCGTGCCTTCTCTTCCACCCGGGGGGGCGCAGGACAGGGTTTGTGAGGGGGCTGCTGCCCGCGCGGGCATCGTTCTGCTGGCCGTTCCCTTACGTGCCACGAGGTCAAGCGCCCGCAGGCGCCCTCTGCACCCCCTCCCGCCACCAGTGCTCCCACTGGCCTCCCTGCTGTCGTGCCCAGTGGTGCCAGACGGGGCATTGGTCAGGAAAGCAACCACAGCAATTCCGGTTTCTAAATTCCAGTTTCTAAAAGCTGGGGTCAGTTTCCAGGTTTGAAAAAGGTCTTTGGGGAAAGGAAACCAATGGCTTTCTAACACAAATCTCAGGGCAAAACCAAGACAAATAAAGGCAGGACCAACGGGGAAAAAAGAACTTTTACACTAATCTGTCTCACTTGATGCTGTGCCACACCGTAACCACATCCTGCTCCTAAATGGATGTTTCTTACCTGCGAATTCGGTACTTCTGTCTAGCTAGCTACTGAATCCGTAGCTCAACTGCCCACCCAGTTGGAGATTAAACCAATTCACAGATATTTTCCTGAAACAGCCAAGCCTGCCACAGGCCAGGGAAACCGCCAGCCCCTCCATCAACAGCATCTAAGGCAAAGTTTGGAACCACTATTGGGAACGATGGCTTTGGTAGCCTTTATTAGCTTAACTGCTGCCCTGTAAATACACAACACCCAGCTATAACCTAATGACACAGTTATCTCCACATCTGCCTGTTCCCCATCCCACCAAAAACCAGTTACAGCTGAACTGCCTCCAGTGTCTTCAGAGCTCCACCTTCTGCCTTCACCCTCACCTCCCTCCCAGCAGCAGACTTGCAAAGGTGAGGACTATCCGCCGTCCGTCTGTCCACTGGGATCGGACTATCCGCCGTCTGTCCACCGGGATCAGATCCGGTAGATTCCTGCCTCTGCTATACAAAGTCTTCTTACCAAAGCCGATATAGTTCTTTCTGTCTGCACAGCTTTTCACTCACACCCATTAGCCATACTTTACTAACAAAAGGCAAAAAAAGAAATATGTATTTACTATTCAAGTGCTCTTTGGGAGGCAGCTCTTAAGACAATGTACTGTGCAGTGCTAGAGCATTATCTGTTCTCGGGTATCTTAGAGAAGCATTAACTGCTTTTCTATCACTCCCAAGTTATCACTTCTTTTTGTGCTTCCTCTCTTTGGAGCCTGAACAAGATTTAGATTTTACATTTCGAAAGAGTACCAGCCTTTATAGTCCATGAACAGTGAAAGCCAAGTATAACGGGGTTGCAAACACACCGGTAAGTACGTTGTAAGTCTCATGTCCCTGGTGGAGCTACGTACAGTCTGACGGCACCCGGCCAGTGCTCTGTGCTACCCAAAAAATGGGAACCCGAAAAAAAGAAAATAACCAGCCATGGCTCCCCTCGGCCTTCAGGCTGTCAGCTGAAGGGAACGGCAAGCTCCTCTAAGCTCCTTTCAGCAAGATGGGCTCATGATTATCTTGATCGCCCTAGCAGGCCCTCTGAGTATCAGCGCCAGCTCTACTTCGCTTTCCATGAATTTGAACAATTCAGTAGTTTATCGGTTTCCAAACGAATTCTCCTCCATGCTTTGTATGACCCTGTAAGCGCCCTTCTGTCTCCATTACCAAGTCTTCTGCTTTCTCTTAATGACAAGCAGTTATCTCAGTAAGACTTCAGGAGCGAAGGAAATCTAAAGGTACAGAATGGAAAGCTGCCGTACAACCCCGAAAGTATTTTCATAATCAAAGTAACTGGTGGTTTCATCCTGTGTGGAAAGAGAAGAAATACTAAAGCCGTTTTCCCATGTAACCTCACATATTTTGCAAAATAAAAAAACCCAGAGCAAACAGAATTTAATATTTTTGTTGGAATAAAGACTGACATGGTCACCCGTGTTCATCTTTCTCCCTGTAACCAACCGTCCTCGCCTGCAGCCAGCCTGGTC